TGTGTGTGTGTATTTATATATTTTTTTTTATTTTTTATTTTTTATTATTGTTTCTTTATTGGAGACTCAGTTGTTACACACTTTCTTTAAACAATAAACGTCTTTATATGAATTAGTCGTGAGCCAGAACACAGAAGTTTGACTGAACTCAGACCACTGGTGGTATATAACAAAGTACATTTACTCAAGTAAAGTACAAGTACCTCAAAACTCTACTTGAGTATTTCTATTTCCTGCTACTTTCTTATTCTCCTCAAAGGTAGATGTTGTACTTGTTACTGCTCTATGTTTATCTGACAGCTTTGTTTACTTTACAGATTATTAAAACTAATACATGATGATGTATTATTATAGATTAACAGTCTTTTAAATGAACACATTAATGCATCAATATGTATCATTTATTCTCATACTTTTACACTATTACTTATGTAACAATTTGAATGCATGACTTGTACCATAGTATTACTGCATTGTAGTACTAGTACTGAAGTACAAACATCCGAGTGCTTCTGTTCTTCCTTCAGGTGAAACATCTGGAGGTGAGCTGCTCGTCGATGGCTGAAGACATCTGCAGGAAGAGCTCCATCATCGAGACCTACGTGATGGACAGCCGCATAGGTGACCTTCTCTCCTCTCCTCTCCTCTTGTCTCCTTATCTCCTCCCCTGTCTTCCCACTTGTCTTAGCATGCTAACAGGCTAACTAAGATGGTGGACAGAGTTTTAAAGTGAATGAACCTGCTTCATCAACAGTGAAAGTTTTTTTTATTGATACTCGTATAGCTGCTGATTCCTCACCCTTGTCTCCTTGTGTCCTCGTCTCCTCAGATGTGTCGGGCAGTGCCGTCGGAGGTCACGGAGGCTCTCAGGGGGAGAGAGGAGGTCTGGGTTCAGTCCTCAGAGATCTGGTGAAACCGGGAGACGAGAATCTGAGAGAGATGAACAAGAAGCTGCAGAACATGTTGGAGGAGCAGCTGACCAAGAACATGCACCTGCAGAAGGTGAGACACACGCGCAGACACACACACACACACACACACACGAACACACACACATTAATTAATGTGCTCATAATGAACATTAGAGCCTTATTGATGATAAAACTGCTGTCTCTGTGTAGGACCTGGAGGTTCTGTCCCAGGAATTAGTCCGTCTCAGTAAAGAAAGCAGCTCTGGTGGCGGTGCAACTGGGTCGGGATAAGGCTAACACCTGGAGCCAACATTTCATCCTTTTCCTATTCCCTGCGACTAACTTCTGGAGCCTTTATGATTTCCCTCATCTCAGTCCGCCTGCTGGGTTACGACTAAATGCTGGAACCTGTTGATTCTCAATGAAGAGAAGAAACTAAGTTTTAAAGGTGTAGAAGAAGAAACTTGAGACCAGTAGGAATGGAAAAGTTGGGCTCAACTCATTTATGTTGCTATTGAATGTACTGTAATTAGACTGAACCACTCAGTTCCTCTGAGTCCTGGCTACAACCTGGAAAACATACATCGTAATGGACTTCTGATTTCTGTTGTAACCGGCTGTAAATCTTTGTGTCTGGAGGTGATTTCAGAAAACACCTTTAAGTCTCTGATGTCTGTCTGTTGGGATCTGGCTATGTCCTGGAGCACACATGCCTGCTATCTGAATGAATGTTATTTTATTGTTTTCTTTGTGCAGTAACTCTGTTGTGATCTGGCTATTTCCTGGGCTCTTAAACCACGGGGTCTGTCTGTGACCTGGACCAACAGAGACGGTGTAACCGTGTAGCAAAGTCTCCTTATTAATTTCCCCGAGCTTTCAGCCACATCTCATGAGCTTCAGTTCTTATCAGGTGTCACATGACACGTTGCTGAAAGTCAGTGGAGCTTTTTTGTTGAGAAGTTTTTCTGTCGTTCCAAAAGTTCAGTCGTGTTTCTGAAGACGTTCGTTAGAAGTTAAACGGAAACGAGTGTTCATTCACGTTTTGTTTTTGTCGATTTAGTAAAAAATTTGCGAAACTTTTCGGTATAAACCTGGAAAGTGAGAACAGGAGACATGAATGTTATTTTACTAGAGAAACAAAAAGCTTCACATCCTTCAGCTTCTGTTCCAACAGAACTGATCCGAGGTTTGAAACATCTCTGATGTTAAAAAACGATGCAGCTACTCGTTGCTTTAAAGAAGATACCAGAATCAAGAACAAAGACTTGACCTCGCTACATCGTTAACAAGCTAACGAGCTACATCGAGCTCATGTCATCAGGGTGTTTGTGGGCCGTGGCTATGTCATGGAGTGCAAACACACGTACGGTTATGATGCTGAACTATTCTGCATCCCTTCTTTTGTTTATAACTTTTCAAACACTCCTGCGTCTCCTCAAACTGTGACGGGGATGTCAAATGGTTCAGACTATTTGCTGGATAGGAACGACTGTCATAGTCATTATCTCTATATTATATTCAGGGCTCATTATTTTGGGTTTTTTTATCGGAAGAAAATTTCTAATTATTTGAAAATGATTCACTGCTTTTAGATTTATTTTCTTCTTTTGGAGTAATGATTTATTTTTACACCGTCGTGTGTTTGACGGTTCATTTAGTTCAGCTTGGGATGCAAAATGGCTCAAATAATCCTAAAATGGTGTCTTTTGTTTCTTTTCTTTTTTTTTCTATAATCCAGCTTTTGATCTCTAGGGACGTGTCTATGTCTTGGATCACATGAACTGTGATTTGTGTTGCACTATTGGATTTTTTTTGTGACTTATTTCCATCCCACCAAAATGGTGCAGAAAAAAACAAAACGAGTAAAACTGTCATCTTTGATCTTTGGATGCTATTGACTCAAATTTTTTTTATCTTGGGCTGTGTCTACTTCCTGCTTGAAACATGTATTTTTTGGACCGTCTTTAAATCTGTTTGCTCAGATTCGTTAAAAAAAAGAAAAAATGATGAAGTTTAAGTTTTTGACAGGAAGTGAAAGATGAACACATCCGTTGGATATCTTGTCGGCTACGTGGGCCCTGACTATGTCCTGGACTGAACCTCTGGTCCCGGGCTCTGACTACATCCTGGACATGACGCTTGTAACTGCTTGTACAATACTTTTTCTTCGTTTGATGTTAAGACTTTAAATGTCGTGAGAAGAACTCGACGTGTCGACGGTGCAGCTTTTGTCTTTTTTCTTTTTTCAACTTAATGACATCATTACGTATTTAAACAGGAAATGTCAAAAATAACAAGAAGCTCATCTTAAAGACAAATCGTCACAAAGTCGGTCGAGCTGCACTGAAAACAAATTGCAGTCTTCTCTCGGGATCAGTCTATGTGCTGGACAGCGACTTTGCCCGTTGCTTTTGCTTTTGTTTGTAATGTTTAAATCTGTATATATATATATATATATATGTTCACGCTGTGATATGACTTCTAACTGTATGAAGAATCAACTGATCTATTTATGAGACTGATGATGATGATCATGACGCTAATTATTGTAACATCAAAATATAAAGTATTGTCTGGAGACGACGATGACGACGTGTCTGCTTTTCTCTGCTCATGCAAAAATCAACGTTCAGCTGAGATTCAATAAATGTTAATGTTTATCTTTTTATTAACTTTTGAACTATTCATATTTTAAGTGATTGACAGGCGAACAAAGACTTTACGTTTTATTTTAGATTTTTATTTCTAACGTCTTTCTGATGGATTTATGTGAAACAACCTTTAACTTCTAAACTAATGTTTCTGATTATCACAAAAGGTTTGTACATTTTTAGACACCTTAAATTGACAAAATGAGACTTTTGTGCTGAGAAAAAGATTTAAAAGCTTAAAGTCCACAGAAATGCACCAGATTCTGGGGGTCTGTCTACATCCTGGACTACATGTCTGAAGAGAAGTGTCTGGTGTTAATCTATGAAATTAGAACTCGTAAAATCTGCTCAACATTGAGTGAAGTTTGGTTCTTTAGTGATGAAATATCTCTGACTCCTGCTGACCCCCCCCCCCCCTTCCCTCCATCCTTCCCACAATTAGAGATGGAGGTCGAGGTTCGGGGAGACGCTGCCTCGCTCGTTGCTAATTAGCTGTCGAGTACTTCCTGTCCCGCAGAGAGACAGACGGGTTAGAGAGGTGACGGGGTCCGCCTTAACGAGATAGCGTCTGATTGGCCGAGCAGAGGGTTAATTGAAGGGGAGGAAGTTGTAGATTACAAACGTGGTTTTAATTAAAATGAAAGTTCAGAGAGAGACGGGCTGTTCCTGTCTGTCTGTCTCCACCTGTCTGTGTCTAAAGTAATGCAAAAAGAAACTAGTATAACATGTATTGATTGACATAAACACGAATAGATAATGGAAATGATTTGATGTTTTTATAACTTATATTAATAAAATAAATGAACAAATTAAATAAACTTAATTCAACTTATTTCTAGTTGTCTGGCTTCTGAACTGATGTTCACTCTTCATGAAGCGAGGCGGCCGTGGCTCAATGGGGGTCGTCCGGCAAACGCAAGGTCGGCGGTTCGATCCTTGGCTGCTACATGTCCTGTGCCGAAGTGTCCCTGAGCAAGACACTGAACCACACACACACACAGTATGTATCTGGGCTCACATGACTGGTTGAAGGAACACGTTTCATCTTGAACTGATATCTGATCATCTGGTTCAACGTCTCGTTCAGCATCAGGAGACTAAAGCAGCCCCCCCCCCACACACACACTCCCCCCACTCCTACATACAGCAGGAGACAGACACAGATACTTTGTAGCTGTTTAGTATGTTTTTGTCTTCAGTTTGTGTCTCTTTGAAGTTGTTTTATGTTTTATTCGTCTATTTGTAGTTTTATGTTTATTTGTAGTCTATTTGTAGTTTTATGTGTCTTTGTAGTCTGTTTGTGTCTCTTTGTAATTGTATGTGTCTTTGTAGTCTATTTGTGTCTCTGTAGTTTTGTGTCTTTGTAGTCTATTTGTGTCTCTTTGTAGTCTATTTGTGTCTCTTAGTAGTTTTATGTATCTTTGCAGTCTATTTGTGTCTCTTTGTAATTGTATGTGTCTTTGTAGTCTATTTGTGTCTCTTTGTAGTTATGTGTCTTTGTAGTCTATTTGTGTCTCTTTGTAGTTATGTGTCTTTGTAGTCTATTTGTGTCTCTTTGTAGTTTTATGTTTATCTTTCTGGTCATTGTGAGCCTCTTCCTGGTTGGTTCGTGTCTCTTTAAGAGACATTTTACAGGTGAAGGATTATTGGAACTTAAAGATCTAGTTGAGTTACAGACTTTGATTTATGTACGAGTGATACCAGAAAATATACAGAATTTGTTTTTAGTTCAGAGGAAAATCTCATGTTAACCACGACTTTATTTTAGTATTATTTCATATTTCAGTGGCGTCGAACAGTAATTCTCTCCAGAATGATTTCAAACGTATCGTTCAGTAAAATGTATAAAGAAAGAAGAACAAGACGCATGGTGAATTCTTCTTCTTCTCATGTTATTGTCAGTTTTGGTTGTTAAGTAACTGTAATCTGTTTCTGTTGTTTATTTATGTTGTCAGTTTCATAAGATGTTTCCTCTCTACTACTACTAACAGTACATAAGTGAAGTACTTCAGTTAATGAAGTTTTAGAACGATTTGCCTCTTTCTTTAAATCGGGGAAACGGCGCCTCCCTCGGTAGTCACTGGCAGTGAACATGTGGAGTCTGTGGTGGAAAAGAGGTACTGCACCCGGACGAGTCCACTGCACACACAGCAGGTGAAGCTTGTGACCTTTGATTAGAAACCACGAGGAACCAGTCAGGTGAGTTCAGTCACTGAACTGGAACCGTGAGTCAGATACGTCCGTCCGTCCGTCCGTCAGGTGGGACTGGCCCAGTAGAAACCTGGTCTGTGTTCTGCTTTATCAGACCGTATTGACACACAGCAACATGATCATGTGTGTGTGTCTCACCTGTCCATCTACCTGTACTGTCTGTCTGTCCATCAACATGATCCTGTCTGCTGTACAGAAACCAGACCCGTCTGTCTGTGAGTGGGTGAGACATCAGAAGATGAGATTCATGTTTCACTTTGAATCCTTCAGCTCGTCTGGTTTCTACGAAACAAACTACAAACTACAATAATGTCTTCACAAGTATCTTATTAGATGTATTCATGTAATAAAGTAACGTTTGTATTGTACTACATCTCAGAGGTACATGTTGTACTTTATACTGTACTACATCTCAGAGGTACATATTGTACTTTATACTGTACTACATCTCAGAGGTACATGTTGTACTTTATACTGTACTACATCTCAGAGGTACATATTGTACTTTATACTGTACTACATCTCAGAGGTACATATTGTACTTTA